TGGGTCTGTTCAGCCTGGAGAAAAGAAGACTGAGAGGGGATCTCCTCAGTGTATATAAATATCTGAGGGGTGGGGGACAGAAGGATGTAGCCAACCTCTTCTCAGTGGCTGGTGGGGATAGGACAAGGGGCAATGGCTGCAAGTTAGAGCACAGGAAGTTCCGCACTGACATGCAAAAGAACTTCTTCATGGCAAGGGTGATGGAACATGGAACAGGCTGCCTAGGGAGGTTGTGGAGTCTCCTTCTCTGGAGATATTCAAGGCCTGTCTGGATGCCTACCTGGGCAGCCTGCTCTGAGGAACCTGCTTTGGCAGGGGGGTTGGACCCAATGATCTTTCGAGGTCCCTCCCAACCCCTACAGTTCTGTGATTCTGTGATAAAACCTTATTTATTTTAGTGTATGGTATTTTGTTTTTAAACCTTAATAGCATTAATTTAAGATTTAAGGAATCAGATGTTTAAATCGTTTAAAACAATTCTATTGCAATCCAATCCATTTCATCCACTGCTATTATAAAATATCCTCAAAGGCCACTGTATTTTTGGTATACATGCAAGAAAGAAGTGTTATGAGAGGAGCTCCATGGAAGGGATGTATAAAGATATCTGAGAACTGCTATTATCTGCAGGTTTTTAGTGTGGAAGAACGCCATGGCACCTTTCAAGCTGCTACAGGAAACCATGTTTTAGAGGTAGGCTAAGGGCTTTAGTGTGCAAGCTGTCCTCTGAATACATGGTTTCCTATCCCCTTGAATGTGGGGAGCCTGCATATGATGATTCTGCTGTTTCTCTATTCAAGGTTTTTGGTTTCTTTACTTTTCCTTCTGTCTGACTTTCTTGGAGGAGTTTCTGAGAAAAGGCTTAGTCAGAAAAAATTTCTGTTTCCATCCCTAAACCATAGTGTCGTACACATAGTGCCCTGTTACATGCACTTTTTAGTGACACATTACAAAAGTAGAATTAACGTTGGGTGGCTTCTGGAAAGCCTAGCAGTACTCTTTCAGAAGCACTTTTCTGGCAAAAGTTTAGCTTTGCTACACCCTTGAATTTTTATACCTACTTTCTAACAGGGTTGAACAATGGCTACAATGTTTAGCTGCTGCAGAATTTCTCCAGATCTCTGCAACCCTCCAGACCCCACCCCTTTCAAATTAAGGAGTAACAGATGTCCAATCACAGTTAATGCCAATCCATGCTGCTACCTACAAGCACACCAGCTACTGGACTTTTATTCTCTCTCTTCTTTAAAATGCTGCCGCTGGGGATTGGAGGCAGAGCATAAAAGCCTTGAATTCTTAGATGAATCCACAATACTTTCATCTTCCCATTCTATTCTGGGTCATTCCTGATCCTGTTGTGCTCTTAGTGCTTCATATGTGTTAATTAAATGCTATTGGGGAGAAAAAAAAAAAAAAAAAAAGATATTGTTAATAATTCAGATATACATCCTTGCAAGTCTCATACGTATGTTGGTTGCATTTGTGAAGGTCCATGTATTCATTCATGCACACTCTGTTCCTACACTCTGTGTGTGTAGGAACATACACTTGTCACACACTGGAATCTTCTCTCCACAGGGTTACACTGGTTTGGTATTGGATTGTAGTGATCTGAGGTAGTGATCTGGATTAACCGAGTAAAGTGGAAAAATGAATCTTTGAAATAAGTCTACTTGAGATTTTCAAGAGCCTCCATCACTTATGTTGCATTTACATTGACAGCAGCAATTTACTGTCATTGCATCGTGTTATTGTTTAGGGAATGTGGTATCAGGCTTACAGAGTGATTTGCCTAAAACCATATAGGAATATGGAATAGAATACGTGTTTCTTCAGTCCCAAATGAGCATCTTGCAGTTTGCGGAGTTATCCTCATCACTGAGAAGTATGCATGGGATTTTCCATGATGGGCTGAGAAAGTATTGATACCAGTTTACAACCTGGCATCAACATCTGTTTTGTAGGAGAAGCAGCAAAGTAAGGCCAGGCTGAAGCCTGAGCCATGCTATTTGTCTTCAGAATTTCTCATGCCAATCCATATTGCTTAGTAAAAATACAAAACTCTTGGATACAAGACTTCTTGGATTTAGTTATCTGAGGAACAAGTAGATTTTTTCATGTTTCTGTACAGTTTGGATGAATTTTTGGAGGGTATGTGTAAAAGACAGAAAGCTTACTAGTTTCTCAGTGCCCTTCAACACTTTACACTGTCAATACCCTCTTTAACTCTGGGAAAAGAAACGTGAAACCTCTAGACTTCTTTTTCCCCCATCGCATAATTTATAATGGCTAAATAGATCATTTTTGAATGTGTGTAATAAAATTCACTCTTAGCCTGAAACATTGTATTTCAGGTTCAAGCTGAATCCAATTTTTACAGGCAACCTGTTGACCTCTAAGGAAGAAAAAAAAAATAATAAAAAAACGTAGAGGTCTAATGGAAATGCTGATGAGGATGAGCTTTAATAAAGAAACTCTACCAAATGACACAATTTCATCTAGTATGTGTACATATGCTGTAAGGATATTACTCACACTATACATACTGTACAGCAAATACTTGTCACACTGGTGGAGAAATTCAAAACGTGGAGAAATCCTTTTATGGTAACATAAAAATCCTTTTTTGTAAGGCCTTCTTTCTTTTTGCAGTACAATTACTTACAGAGTTCATTAATTAATGAACATATTAGAGAAAGAACACCATTACTGACCAGTGGAGACCTGATATATTATTGAATCAATAAACTATTGAACACGAAACAGGACCTTTCTGGAGAATTTTTTCCTCATATCCCACAAACACATATATTATTCTTGCACGGTCAGCACTCTGGTACCCTTATATTTCATATTGCTAATTCTTTTAATCACGCATACATACAGCAGTGTTTTATAACCTAGCTAATGAGTAATTGGACAGGTGACATTGGGACTGAGGCCCTGAAGTGTCAGGCATAATAGAGCAGGATATTTTTTCCCTTGCAAGGTTTCTGAGAGTAAAAGGTAGTAAAAGAACTATTAAGACAGGGAAAAAAAAGGATGCCTGTATGAGAAATTTATTGGAGAAACAGGTTCTAATTGGATTGGTGAAGTACAAATGGCTTTAAATGCTGTGTGATGCAAATAGATAAGAGAGAAAACAAAATAACTTTGGATGTTTTCTATTGTCAGTAACCAAGGAATCTAGCTTGGGCAAATTAATGTTGAATGTAATTTTCTTTAAGATGATATAGGTAAGGTAACTGTTTTTTGATTTTGATGGAGTGTGTATGGGGGTGTGTTAATTGTTTGGAAGATGCAAGGGAATTCACAATGCTTCAGTATGTCTGCGGCCATAGGAGCTAAGGACCCTTCCCCCACCTTAGCCCCTGTGTAATCATTGATTGCATCTAAATCTATAGAGATATCTTTTCCTGGCAGCTCTGGTAGTTACAGTAGATTGTTAATCTGTGAATGATCAGAATAAGCCTCCATGTCTCAGAAATCTCCATGCAAATTACATCTAAATGTGTGCCGTAGATTTATTAGTAGCAGTTTGAAGTGCAGAGGTCTTCTTCTACACTATTTAAAAACGTAAATCTGTTACACATTAAAAAAGTCCCATTCAATTTGTATTTGCTTTTCTGTGACTATAGTTAGCCTCTCTCAAGTAAACCTGTGTAGGTTTTGAAATCTTTTTTGAAAGGGAGAGAAGATTTTAATGAGGTGTTTTATATAAGCAAATTTTAGATTTCTGCATGTGACTGCCATCTTAGCTTCACTGCTTTGAAATAATTCCTTCTTTTGCAAAAGAGAGAATTACATATATTTTGGGCACCATGGTATGAGAAGGACATAAACTATTAGAGAGCATCCAAAGGAGGGCTACAGAAGTGGTGAAGGGTCTATAGGCCAAAAAGTGTGAGAAGCAGCTGAGGTCCCTTGGTTTGTTCAGCCCAGGTTGAGGGGAGGCCTCATGGTGGCTTGCAGCTCCCTCACGAGGGGAGTGGAGGGGCAGGCGCTGAGCTCTGCTCTCTGGGGACAGCAACAGGACCCGAGGGAAAGGCATGGAGCTGGGACAGGGGAGGGTCAGGCTGGGTGTTAAGGAAAGGTTCTGCACCCAGAGGGTAGTTGGGCACTGGGACAGGCTCCCAAGGGCAGTGGTCATGGCACTGAGCCTGATGGAGTTCAAGAACTGTTTGGACAGTGCTCTCAGACACTTGGTCTGATTTTGAGGTTGTCCTGTGTGGAGCCAGGAGTTGGACTCAATGATCCTTGTGGGTCCCTTCCAACTTGTGATATTCTGTGGTTCTGTGGTACATGATTGACAAATGCAGAATGCTAAGAAGTGAAGTGTTAGGCCCAGATATTGGCAAAAATTGAAGAAGAAAAGTAAAGTTACAAGATGTATTATGAGACAGACCTATTCTTCTACTATAATTTTACCCTGTTTTAGGAAAACATCAAATCCATCCATGACTCCTTTCTGATGTAATGGAGTTGCACATTATGAGAGCTCCTAAAGGAAAATTTTGAATGACCTTCGGATACCATGGTGGGAGAGGAAAAAGTATTCCTTCTTATATGTTTTCATTTCCTTGTTTTATGCTTCATTTTAATTAAGCTGATGTGCTGTTTTGGGAAGACATCACTAGTAACATTTTCCTTCAGGCCAGTGATTCAAAATCAGAAAATTTGTGGAACACCTAGAGAATCCTTGTCTTTGCACTTTTTTTTTTTCTTTTCTTTTTATCCTAGAGGAAATAGAGCAATTCTTTCAAACACTTTAGATAAGTATTCGTCTTTATGGAAAAACAGAATATGTTATTGAATAAGCTTTGCTCAGGGATACTGATATATGTTTTTGAAAGAAAATTAATCCCTACTTAAAAGAATGAGCAATACTTTGAATGTTAGAAGGCTGTTTATTACTGTACAATACCCCTGTAGCTCTCACAACAAATTTGTACAAGAGGGGAGAAAGATGTTAATATGTATTTTCTGTTTCTTTTTTCCAGGCCATCCGCTGTACACTGGTAAATTGCACATGTGAATGTTTTCAGCCAGGGAAGATTAACCTGAGAACCTGTGATCAGTGTAAACATGGCTGGGTGGCACATGGTAAGAAATGTCTGTTCTGCGTTTGTCTTTTCTATTCTGTCCATCTTTCTCAGTCTCTGTAAATACACAGACAGAAGTAATACCTGTTCATCTGTGCAGGTATGTAGGTGCACTCTGGGTCTGTGCAAGTATGTGTTTTTTTAAAATGATTTCTAGGATGGAAACATGAGGGTCGATTACTTGGGCAATAGACGCCACAGGAGTTCAACAGCTTGTGTACAGTTCAAAAATATAATCTAGCCTTCAAGAAGTAATGTGGTTCTATCAGACCTTAGCAGAAAGGCAAAAGGTTTATCATATGGTTGCACAGCAGAGTTTATATTACAAATAAGCATCAGCCAATAAGTTGCTGAGACTAATGGAAATTCAGACATATCAATGTCAACCTTTCAGAACTTGAATATCAGAGTGAAAGCAGTGTATCCTGTTTGGCTCAGTAACAGTATGCACACATGATCAGTGTGTTGAACGTCTCTTCCCTGTGTTTAAGTAGGTGAAGAAAGAATAGAAGGATAAGAATCCCCAGGTTTTGTAAGGCATCGAACCATACTTGCAGGCCTTTCTTTTTGTGTATTTTTTTTTTGTGGGAAGAAAAAGTAAAATATTTTTTTAATATTATTATAATATTTTAATATTATTAATATATAAAATATATTTTGTGCATTCAATTTCATTTTCCTTGACAATATGGATATATATGAGAGAGAAAGACAGAACTGAATAAAAAATTACATGGCAAAGGAGAATACCTAAGATGGGGATAAAATAAAAACAAACAAACAACAAACAAACAAACAAACAAAAACAGAAAGACTATGCTTGCAGAAGAAATTAAAGATTTCTTCTCATGGTCAAGGCTAGTGACATCTAAGCAAGCACAATCTTCATTCTCCCCTTCCAGCAGACAATCAGTGCATTATACTTTATGAATTTTATTTTATTTTATTTTTATTTTTATTTTATTTTATTTTATTTTATTTATTATTTGTGAGACACGGGTTGGAAGCTTAGTACCTCAAACATGGACTTGATCTCTACTTACTTAGTGCATGATTATGTGTATTTCTGCCTGAGACTGCTGACTTATTGCAAGTGTGAATGCTCAGCAAATTCAACAGAAAAGAATGCCAGAGAAGTTTTTAAACATTCACATACCTGGAAAAAAAAATAAAAAATCAGAAATGTAAGTATAATTCAGTCCTGTGTCACTTGATAATACTTGATAGTATGTACATCCTGCCTAACAATAGCATAATGCCACCCATATGGTAGTTGGTTGCAGATGTATTATGTACTCAATTGTCTAGAGACAATCCTTGTTTTCACTCCTTTTAATTCCTGGAAAAATATCTTCACCCACAATATAACCAGACTGACATTTCTTGGAAGGATCACTAAACCTCACAAAATTCTGAAGTTCAGGCATACTTCAGGTTTTGTGTAGAATCAGCATCTGAGGTTTTGCTTATCCACGGTAGGGAAGACTCATCTAGCTATTTTCCAGGGTGTCTTCCTGTTGAGTAATAGAAAGAAGGAGTGCACTTGGAATCTCACATATGGGTATCCCACTTCTTGTTTTTAACCAGTATACATTAAAATTGTGATCAGATTTTTCTGATAAATGCTTTTCTGTGAGGTTGTTGAGTTCAAAATCAGAATGTAAAAGTAATCTGAGATAACCACAGGGCTCTGTTTCACAAGTACAGAAACTAGAAAGGTGAATGTTATAATCATGGAGGCATCACCTTCTCCTGTACCTTGGAGGCACCACTTTCTCTTGTACCTGAGCACTTAACATTCCAAGTAGATAACTTAATACAGCTATATATTATTACTGAATTTTTGTTTTACTACTGCACTGAGCAAAGAATGCTCTGATTTATTTATTTTTTAGTACACTTTGTGTACATTCATCTAGAGTATTTACATTTTATGGCAGAGCAAGACTAGTCAGATGTATGTTTCATATGAGTTCTCCAAGCACAGACTTATAAATTACTTCCTGGAGACTGTGATGTGAATTTTTGATATTAATTTTTTTTTTTTTCCAGAATTTTGACAGCTACATTCAGTAGACTGAACAATTCATTGCACTGTAGCACCTGGATTTTAAAATGACTGAATCAGGTTGCTGTTCAGAAGTGATTTTCTTTAAAGTGTTGGCATTGTACTTTCAGAAGTTGCTCCTTGAATGAAAGTATTATTTTCTGCTGCTATAAATAAGGGTTCTTATTTAAGAACCTCCTGATTTTTATCAATGAATTTCAACGCAAATGTTTAGCATATGGTGTAGTGCTTTACTGAATGTAATCATCAAAGAATAGGTGTTTCCAACAGGAAGTAACATGCTTATTTGGTTCTAATAACCTAGAATCATAATTAACTCAGTTGATCAAAAATGGCCTAGAACTTAGTCTTCTCATGCATTACTTGACTAATCTGTGCAGGGTTAATGCATGTTAACAATTGCCATTTAAAATGTTGAAATTTTTGAAGTGGGCAAGAAAAGGCATAAAGCCACAACAATATTATTACACTTAGCATCTACTGTCCTGTTTTATTGTTGTTGCTGCTATTCCTGCTTCCTTCATCTTTATTATGTTTTTCTTTGCTCAGATGAAATGAGCTGCGCTCATCTTGAAAGGAATAGTTGCCTGCAAGTTCAGTTTTTATCTGTTTGGAGGTGCCAAAGTAGGATGTCTGTATTTGAGAAGATTCATCAAAGTGTTTTGTTTTTTTTTTTTGAGTGTGTCAAATAAGTGATTCTGTTGGCAAAAGTTCAGCTTATCAAGTTTTGACCATGCACCCCTGTATGATAGTGGTAATCCTACCACTACCATTTTTAAGGCTGAAGCCCAAAACTGCATAGAGTATCATAACATTCTCTAGAACTGCTGTACATAATGGGGAAGAGGTTATTATTAGTGTGAAACTATAGATATTTTGAGGGATTTGGATGAATAGACTGTGTTGAGGTGAAATACATCATAGCACTCTAAAACTACTATAACATTCATTCTGTTTCTTTTTGTTTCAATATCTCAGACTTTGCAGAGACTTTAAAAAAAAGGGAGGGGGGAGAAGAAAAAGAATAATTTGATTAAACTTGTCTGAAATTACTAGTGTATTGTTTCAAAGAGAAAATTAAAAATGCTAGTTCTATATCATACCCTCAAACTGATCACTGATAAAATTCAAATCAGACAGCTGCCATGTCTTTTAGATCTTTTTGATATATTATGCATTCTTGGACTATCTCAATTTCACACCATTCACAGAATCACACAGAATCACAGAATTTCTAGGTTGGAAGAGACCTCAAGATCATCGGGTCCAACCTCTGACCTAACGCTAACCCACTAAACCATATCCCTAAGCTCTACATCTAAACGTCTCAATCTGTTCTACCAAAGAAGTATCCTGTGAATATCTTTGTTGTCCTCCTCCCTTCTTCTCCTGGTGGTCACTCTAGTGATCTTTGTCTCAGAGTTGTCTAGCAATCTTTGCTGTCTTTTCCTCTGCATCATGCCAATCAGCACAGTTCAATGAGGGGTACATATTCAAGTACTCCTTAGTACCTCTATGAGTACCTCAGAGTATGAACTGCATATGGTTCCATCTCCAGTCGGGTACTTAGCCAGGCCATTTTTTCAAATACATTTGAGATTAAGTTCCTTGAAGTTTAGATAGAATATACATTAGGAGATTTAATCACACAGGGCAAATCCATTACTCCTTTCCATCTTAAAACCTCATACCCAATGAATGCTTATGCTCAGAGACTCACCATGTGAGTTACTTTTGTCTTGTGAAGGAAGTTTTCTGATTCCACTATTTTTATAATGCATGCATTAGTGTGCTGTAAATGAGAATAACAACAAAAACAATGACCACCCAAAAATGGAGAATACTCTGTCATGAAACCCAAATGTATGATGTGACTGTGAGTTCTTTCCAAATGACTGAGTGGTGATTTCTACATGGTAATTTGTGAAGTTGTCAGGTAAAAGAAAGGTGAAATACAAGAAAAGGAAGAAAAGAAGCAAATAAATAGAGAGAAAGAAGAATCCTGTGGATATATTAGAAATTCCATCCCTCCCTCACCCTGAAGTTGCTGAATGGGCTCAATCTAGGAAGAAAGCTTAGATTTTAAATGTGAGCTACATGGCAGTAGAAGAGGAGAACTATGTTGAAATAAGAATGAGCATGGTTTCTACATTTCTCACAGTCTAAAACTGTCAAGTGATAGAAATCCAGGTTTGGGAAGTCCAAGGTCATCTCTAACAAAACAAAACAAAACAAAACAAACAAACAAAATCAAAACATGTTACAGATCTTAGAGTCTCTCTAAAAGCTGGCAGAACTGCCATGTTATTCTTTACTTTAAAAGTGGGATAACAAAAAATAAACACTAAAAAGGGAAAGTGGAAATATAATCCTATTGTTATAATTTAGTGGTAAAATAAAGGGTTATTTTTGTGTTGTTTCATAATATTTAAAAAAAAAAGTCAGAACTTCCGCACAACAAGCATATTTTTTTCTTTGTTTTCAGCTAAGTTAATTCTTTAAAATGCTTTAAAAAGACTTGAGGACATTATAGCTTTATTTTTTTTTTTAGTTACATAGAGATTTTTGGCAAAGAAATTATCTCAATTCATTGATAGCAAAGGCCAACTCTTCATAACTATTTTAGATTGTCTGTCTTTTCCTGTATTTTACCAACAAAAACCTTTTAAACCATGTTATAACTTCCTTTTGTCCCTGAAGGATGAGACATATTTTTCATTACTCAGTTACTTCCAGGAAATTTACCTGATTCATTACTGGTAAACTCTTTTTGTAAGTCCCTCCTCCTGCTTGTGTCTTCCTTTTCCTTCCTTTCATCAGCAATTCCCAAAGTGGTCAGTAAAGCACAGAGAAGTTCCAATCTACTGTCCTGTGGGTAGTCTGACCCAGTATCTGGTTTTAAAGCCTGCCACATTAGTAGGAATGATGTGATG